GAGAGAGGCAGTGTGGGCTAGTGGTTAGAGCTGAGGCACTGGGAGAGAGTGGCTTAACCCTCTTTTTTGTTTCCCTTTTTCCAGGACAATTCCACCCTGGAAGCTACTGCTCTTTTGAAGAAGGGGATTGTGGGTGGCAGACTACATCTCTGAGTGACGTCTCCTGGGTTGTCCTCAAGTCACAGCCAGGGGGCGCCACTGATAGCTGTGCATCCACACAAGGTGAGCACAGATTGCAGTACTATTCAGAAAATACCGCTGCGACAGACCGCTGAGCTCCAGGCGGAGGGCTGTGACGTCGCTCCAGAATCCAGATCTGAATTTGTTGTTTAACACGCGACTGTCTCTTCGTTCTTGAGAGCGATGAAGTGGTGGTCAGGAAATGCATGAGCTGCAGACACCTCTGCTGATGTTACGCCCCCCAAAGCTCAGATTTCAGCTGGCCCCCTTCAGTACTCTCTGCCAGCCACACGCCTCGCATGCCCAGAGCCTGGCCTGGAGGCGTGTGCTTGCGGAGTGGAAGAAGGCCCCTTGCTGTGCTAACGTGGTGGTCTCGGTCTGCCGCAGGCGCGGTGCTGGCTCTGCACGGCGGAGAGGCCGCGGAGCTCCGGAGCCCGCTCTTCCCCCCGCCGCTCCGGAACGCCCCCTGCCAGGTGAGAGCGGGACTGCGTCCGATGTCACTGAGGGTCCCGGGATGCCGCACGAGGGAGCAGGGACACGGGGCTGCTGACATTCGAAAATGGGGCTGAGGGGGGTGATGGAGACGTCACCTGCCATTGCACCTGCAGTGGACACGCCCACGGGAAATTGTTCTGTGTGTGGGCTGGTGCTGGTGTCAGGGACAGCAAACCCTGTGCAAAAAGACCTCAGGCTAAGACCTCTAGCGTCCCCTCACATTAAGGCAGATTTGCACCAACTATTGATGCTTAAAGAACACAATAGCGCTGTCCTTCAGTGGGTGTTGAGCCAGCTGGTAGTTGGCCCGTCAGCAGCTGGCGTTTTTTTAAAGTTTCTCCAGTTCAGGTGCTGTCGCAGAGGGTCCGAGGTGCTCCGCCAGCCCCTCACTGGACCCTCAAGCAACGCGGGCCTGTGTCGGTCACAACCTGTCTCATGTCTTGGGGTTCCCAGGGTCCCACAAGCAGTGTATCTTCCACATCTGCCCCTGCGTCCCTGAGAGAGGAACAGGGGCTCCATCATCTGGAGAAGCCAGAGCTCATACAGGCAGAACCATCGTTGGTGCGAGTCGGTCTCATGCGCTGGCTTAGCCTCAGTGGACGTCCGAATTAGACTTTGCCGTTTCCTCTGCTCACCTAGTTTGTCGGTGGTTAACGTGTTGCTGCTGTGTGCAGCCGAGAGAGCAGAAATGTGCATCAGACGTGAGGAGAATACGTCTGTCTCATCGTGGAGGCCCTGATTACACCTATACAAGCGCTGCCTGGCAGCCTGAGAGCTGTACCACAGCGGCACACATTCTGACCCCTGACCCCGTGACTGGAGTGCAGGTGGAGGTCAGCGCAGGGCTCGGCGAGGTTACGACCGGGGTCTTGACCAGCAGTGAAGAGGGAGGCTAATCTGATCTCACCCTTGACCCCCGTGAGGGACCTTGAAAAGTCTAAAACATACTTTCAGGATAGAGTTCTCGCCCGCCTCCGTCTGCGCGCTGGTGTCCTGCGGGAGGAGAAATCTAGGGCTGGCGCTGAATTTAAATGAAAGAGCTCGGCAGGCTGTACCTCCGCTGCCCCCAGCCTGGCCACGCTGAATCCCCTGGCTCCCGCCGGGAGCCCTGACAGCTCTGTGTGCCCTGCAGGTGCGGTTCCGGCTGTGTCAAAGAGGGCACCAGCAGAGGGCGCTGTCGCTGTGGGTGGTGGAGAACGGCACGGGGCTGGAAGAGAAGCAGAGAGTGTGGCAGTCGGGGGGCAGCACCCAGGGGTGGGGCTGGAGCCTTGTCTCCCTCCCCCTGTACGGAGTGACAGACTGGTAAGACCAATCAGAGCGCTGCACAGGAGGAAACGGTACCCGCTGTTTCAAGAGAACCCTGATTTAAGCCTGGATGCTTAAAATACAGGCAAATACAGGCCTGGGAGTCTGGGAGTTGAACTGCTGTCTTTAACAAGACACAATCAGTTCTTAAATGAACACTACAACCCATAAATAAACAGTGCCACCCATGCTTGGCGTTTCAAAGTGTGTCATCCAATTCGGCATGCAAGTCCTTCTCCGGCCTGGTCCTCAGAGTGCTGTCTGAGTGCTTCTGAAAGCAGCCTCCGGTGCCGTAATTCAGGACTGCAGAGACAAGTGACAGGGAGGTTGAGAAACACCGTCTGCTTCAGACCAGGAATGGGAGAACGGGGCACGCATGCACAGACACAAGCAGCAGATGGCACGGGGTGCACCTCCACCTTTCACTTTCTGGCCATTCAGGCAGTGCTGGGTGTTGTCCGAGGTCACCCTGTGTGGAGACACTGCGCGAGCTGGGGACTGACAGAATCAGCCTCTGTTCAGCCCAGCCAGTGGCTCAGAGTCCTCTGGGTTACCCTGAGGCTTAGAGTCTGCTTGTGCCAGGGTGCCGTGCTGGTGAGGATTTCCTGTGTCTCGGCAGGTTCTGGCTGCAGTTCAGTGCTGACAGAGGAGACGGGTTTGGACCTGCGATCACCGTGGACAACATCTCTCTCAGCCCAGAATGCTTCTTGGCCTGTAAGCACCCACAACTCCCTACACTGCACATTCTCTAAAGGCACATTGACAACCCCCTGGCACAGCATTCACTGACACTCACTGGCAACCCCAGAGCACACTAACATTAACACTAACATCCAGCTTCAGGGAACAGCTCTCATCGACGACAGTCTCACTGGCAGCGCCTGGGCACAGTTCTCACTGGTGAAAGGCTCACTGACAGCGCCTGGGCACAGTTCTCACTGACGACAGGCTCACTGTCAGTGCCTGGCCACAGTTCTCACTGACAACAGGCTCACTGACAGCACCTGGGCACAATTCTCACTGACGACAGGCTCACTGTCAGCGCCTGTGCACAGTTCTCACTGACGACAGATTCACTATCAGAGCGCCTGTGCACAGTTCTCACTGGTGACAGGCTCACTATCAGAGTGCATGGGCACAGTTCTCATTGGTGACAGGCTCACTGTCAGAGCGCCTGGGCACAGTTCTCACTGGTGACAGGCTCACTATCAGATCGCCTGGGCACAGTTCTCACTGACTAGTATTAAGGGACTGTCCTTCACTAAGGCTGTAGGAACTGAGTCTCTTCATTCTTGAACAGAGAAGACTGTGAGGAGACTGATACAAGTATTAAGGGACTGGCCTGCACTGACAGACTGAAGGAACTGAGTCTCTTCAGTCTTGAACAGATAAGACTGTGAGGAGACCGATACAAGTATTAAGGGACTGTCCTACACTGACAGACTGAAGGAACTGAGTCTCTTCAGATTTGAACAGAGAAGACTGTGAGGAGACTGATACAAGTATTAGGGGACTGTCCTACACTGACAGGCTGAAGGAGCTGAGTCTGTTTAGTCTTGAACATTTAAAACTGAAAACAAGAGGCATTTCTTTACACAAAGGGTGTTAGGAGCACGGAACAAGCTTTCCAGCATGTTGTTGAAGCTGATACCCTCATTTCTTACAGCAGCTGGATCAAAGCCTCAGATCAATTAACTACCAGCTACCTAAGATGGACAGATCTTGTTTCAGTCTTCTCTCATTGATAAACATTCATATGATCTTAGATTTGTGAAAGTGAGCTTAATCTTGCCAGTCTGGGTCCATGTGGGGCTTTTTGCTCCTTTGTGTTTTAGCGGAATCCGTTTGCAGTTACTAGCTTGTAGCAGCTCATTAGGAAACTGAGGGCCATCCTCCTCGCTTCCCTGCACTTTGCTGGATGCTCCACAGAAGAGGCCCTGCAGGTGCAGAAGAGCCCCGCTGCTCCACATAAGAGCTCCATAGATGGGGAAGATGAGTTTTCTCCCCTGTTGAGGAACTGACAATTACAGCAAGATATACTGTAGCTCCACTGTAGTGCTGCCCAGAGACTCACATCGGTGAATATCATTAGAGGCCCAGCTGACTAACCCATTCACATCACTTGTTTTACAGCCCAAAATGAGCACCAGGGGAATTTAGCTGCAGATCTCTCCCTTGAGCACTCTCGATTTCCTTTCAGGGTTTGAAAGAGCCGGTCTGTCTGTTTTTTTCAGCAGAAAATAGATGGCAATGATGCTCCTGAACAATTTATTGCATTGGCTCCCGAACATATAGAGCACAGTGATGACCAACATCATCAGAAGGTCAAACAACAGTTGTGCTGAAAAACATACCCCAGAGGGTACTGACTCTACTGCCTCTGTCTCTGATTCGCATTCACACTGCCTCTGATTCTACTGACATCTTCTCCGATTCCACTGATATTGTATGTGACTCCACCCCACAGAGAGCAGTACAGTCAGTGACTCTGCCCACAGAGAGAGGTACAGTCTGTGACTCTGCCCACAGAGAGGTACAGTCAGTGACTCTGCCC